ACTTTAATTTTAATGTTTATACAAGGTAAAAATGAAAAATACAAAGAGAGGTCACAAGCCAAGAGAAACCTTCAGGTTCATGGAAAAACTGAGAGGACACTCCCTGGCTACATTTTCACTGAAATATCTTCCACACCAAAATATCCACTTAAACTATTTCATTAATTTCAGAGGTCTTTGAAAAGCCCCCAGTAAGCAGTTCCAGAAGAGGAACCCATAGCTAAACCCTTGGCTTGGAAAGGTTTTCAGAGTACACACAGGCTGTGGCACTGTCTGACAGCTCCAGCTATGTCACTTAGGTGATGACATCTTGTAAAAAACTGAAGAACTCACAAAGGCTGGAACCAGCATTTATCCAGCCTAGTCTCAGTCTGAGCTGATTTTAACCTGTTTTAGATGTAATAACAGCTCCCCAGCTGTCAGATGAGTATTGCCCAAATTGTTTTAGCCTAAATCATTTTAGTTCATCTCTGAATGTCCTGTGTGGAAAGATCTAGAAATCTTGAGTAGTCATTGAACAAGCATATCATGTCTTTGTGTTAATTGAAATGGGAGAAGGTGTTGGTGAAGCATGTATTTTTCTTGAAACCAATGAAAAAAGCATCAAAGTATACCCAGGAAGCTCCCCAGATTATGGAGTAAGAACTTCCTCACTATAAGCATCATGTGAAGATGGGTGGAGAACCTGGGATATTGGTAACTCATCACAATCCCTTCCTCCTTGGGAAATACAGGTAACACTGACCTTGGCAGTCAGGGAGACACTACAAAGGTAAAAAAATATAACAAGAAAAGGAGCAAATTACTGGAGTCTGTCTAATCAGTCAGTAATTGTATAGTAATATGCCTGGCCTAATAAGAATGGTAGTATTTGTTCTTAGAAGGTTAATACATTAATTACACTAAAAGCAATTTCCAGCTCTGACAACTGGATGCCATAACAAGATTTTCCTTATAAAAACAGAAGGGATTTATAAGCTGTTTGATCTCAGGCAAAATTAAGACCATGTACAATGGACTTGTGGAGATCAAGGGAAGGATTCAGTTACCTAAACACAGGCATTTAATGCCCTTTGAGACATCCTTCCTGGTTTACAGCTGCTGTGGTTTATGGGTTTCCCATAAATTCTCTGTCTTTGCTGCCAGCCCATACTCAAATGATGTCCTGCCTACAAAATCAAAGCAGTTTGTTTGCAGAAAGACCTGAGGATCTAGAGTCACCAAAGATAGTTCTGCACATCTGAGGATGGAGCTGTGCACTGTTCCATATGCTGACTGCTTAGGCACAAAGGAAATCCATCATAACCACCTTTTTCTGCCAAGTAGTATTGCTTCGGTTACTTTGACTGGAAATTGCATTTTTATTTTGTCATCTCCTTTGTGCCTGACAGAATTAAAAACATTCTGGGGGCTTAATGTGCAGAAGGTGTCAGTTTATTGAAAGGCTTTTATCCTTGTATTTTGGAGTTGGTAATTACCTCTCACGAGTGAAACAAAAGGCAAGTCACTGCTCTGGCTGCCTTTCATTTCCCTTCAAACTCAATGTGACTCCAGACTTCCATGTTCTTGGCAAGGATCTCACTAATACAGCAGGTTGTTACTAACCAATGCTATTCACATGATACAAAGTTAATTAGAAAAGTCTGTTCTAATTTATAAATATGCAATTATGGTTAAGCAAATCAGAAGTTGAGGCCTTGCAAGGTTCCCAGTGGGTTTTTATTTTCACGATTCCAGTGCATCCAGAAGAAAGAGTCACTGATCTGTCCTCTGATGTAAAAATGCAATTTGCTTTATTCAAGTGGGATTTGCAGATGTATAAAAACATGTTTTTGGAGTTTGTTCAAATTAATTACTTTGAAAACAAGTGAATTTGTGGAATAGCTTTTACAAAAAATATGCAGTCACCAAAATACCCTAATTACTTTCCAGGACCAAGTAATCTGCCTCCAAATAAGCAAAAGGAGAGTGTAAGCTTGATATTGCTTGGTATGATACCCCAGATATTAAATTCAAAGAGATCAAAGCTCAGAGAGGGCAAATAAGATCTCTTGCCCTGTGTCCCAATCTGCTTCTCACTGAAAGTCTGTATTTCCCATCTCTGTTTCACAGGCTCTTCTATGACTCTCTGATATCCTGACTTCCTACCTACTAAAGGTCACAGAGTTCCCCTCCTTGACTCCAATATTGAAATGAACTCGTTCTTACTGCAAACTGCCTTTGTTTGGCCCTTTATATGTGATAAGTTTTTTTTAATAAATGAATATCTGTTATCCCAAACTTTGCTGTTATTGATGTCCTTTTTTATTCTGTCTAATGACAAAAAGCTGTCATGGGACTCCAAAGAAAGAGGCTGTGCCCAGTGTAAAAGCACTGCAGGTTATTACTAGGCCATTGATTGCAACTGTTGGATTGCATCCACACACAATGTTCTTTCACAAAATAGAATTGCTATTAAGTTTTTTAGAATAGTTCATAGGGGACAGAAGCCTAGGCCACACAATTTAACAACTCCTACCATGCACATCCTGTGGCCTACATACAGGAAAGAGTCATCAGTCCTCAACTGCCTTCCCAAGGTTTCTTTGACATTCCTAGACAAGAAACTCTCCTATGAAACTTCATAAACCAGCCTGGACTGAAAACTGATACACTTGAATAAATGGAACAACAAGGGTAAAAGAATATTACTGTGGCCTTCCTCACCCGTATGAGATCAACCAGAAAACATATTTTCAGTTTATTCCCCATTCAAGAGAAGTCTATTACATTTATGAATGACAATTCTACTCAACAAGATGGCAGTTTCCATGGACTTTAGTGGGACCAAAATCTCATATCACAGAATGACAGAATATGCTGGGAAGGACTCATTAGTCATCAAGCTCAACTCTTGGCTTTGCACTTTACTCAGCATTATCTGTAGGTTTAATTATCTCATTTCAGTTCCCTGGTGTAAGTCTGGGGTAGTTTCAAAGACCTGAAAAGAGCCAAAGCCTGAAACTATCAGATAATATTTATTTGATTTAGAAATCTGGAGGAATGATTAGAAAGAAAAACAGAGGTTTTTTTTAACAGTTATTGCAGGACTGATTGGAAGCTGATGTAAATTTCCACTCTTCTGTTCTTTGAGGTGTTTTCATGGTAATAGAGAATCTCCAAGGCCTTCAGATGCCCAGTGAGATATATAAGACAGAGGCATAGTGTTTTTATCATCCCTGGCTGAACAGAAAAGCCTTGACTTGGTGATTTTAAGGATCATTTCCAATCTTAACAATTCTATGATTTTATGATCCTGTCCTCGACTGTGCCTGCAGAAGACAAACAACCCAAGAACCAAACAGCCCAGAATTACTCTGGGTGTTTGCCAGATCAATGGGAACGTACAGTCATTCCATTCTGGTGGAATGATCTGGTGACATTTTTCATTTAGGCATCTGAAATCAGGTGAAATTAACCTGGATCGTCTAAAATCTTTTATTCATGCTTAGCTGCTTATTTGATCTAATGTTCCTACTTCATTTCTTGGCTTAGCCTTAAAGGAAAGAAAAGGAAAACATGGGGAAAAAAATTTAAAACCCTGTGGATGAGTGAGTCCAAGCAGGACTAACAATGAATGCTGATACTGAACATACCAAGGAGAGTTTCCTTTTCACTCAAGAGCTGGCAAAGTCCATCACAATTGGGAGCCATTGAAAGCCCTAATGGAGTCCAAATCCCATGTCTGATGTGTGCAACTGCTTCTGGCAGCATGGAAGGAGCAGGTTCAGTGGCCTGACTCACAATCCTGCCTCCTTTTCACACAAAGCTGTGTAGGAGTGAAAAAAACCCTAAACATTAAAAAAATACAAAATTATACAGAAATGAGTCTAAGGAGGAAGGGAGAAGTTCTCAATCCTTTCAAGCCCATGTTGCCAAGGAAACCCCTCCTTGATATCCTTTTCATCCTGCTTGTCTGACTCTCTCTGTGGAGAGAAATGACACTGGGGAATCTCTTCTTGTACAGAGGGTGATTTGAGACAGTTACTTATAAATAAATATTTTATTTTCTTATTCAATTAAAAACTTTACTGCTTTTTTTTTTAGATTATGTCAAGGTGTAAGGTCATCCCAAGGGGAAGGATTTAAAAAGAAAATTAGAATAACTATTGAAAATTCTTTTGTGGAAAGGAAGAATGTAAACTTTCTCTGTATAAACACTTACATCTTCAGTACTTGAGGCAAACAAGAGGTTTTCTATATATTATGAGCTTCTTTAATTTTGTGCTGTTGTGTCAACCCCACACACTGTGTGTTCAGTGTGCCAAATAATCAAGAAAATGTATAATTTGTTTCTATTCTGTGTCTTAAGCATATGTGAAGTACATTTCTTCATAAAATCAATTCTCTCAATTCACCTTCATGTTGTTCCAGTGGAAAATGCCACTGAAACCTGTCTGGGACCACATTACAGATGGGGACAGGTCAGTCTCCCCAGAGGGCCTAAACATCATGGGATCCAGTGGACACCATCATGATGAAGTAGACTGGAAAGTTGCTCTAGATCCTTCCTTTTGCAAGTATTGAGACATTTTTCCCCAGGCTATTCTAAAACATCTTTGTGCATTCTGCTCATTGCCCTAGACCTATTTCTGAAGGGAGCCACATAGTTCCTATATCTAGAAAATTATATGACAGCAAAGGTTTCAAAATATACATAATAAACCACAATCCTCTTCCAATGTTTCTCATGCAACACTAAAATAGTACAAATATTCACTGAGGTTTATAAAATCACTTTGTTGTGACAGAGGCTTGAAGACCCCCTCTTTTGGCATCTGGGTATGCACGGAATGACAGGGATAACTTGTTCTTTTCAAAACATTATACTCTTCTGTCTCACACTTCTTTAAAGGTTTTTCTTCTGCAGGGGAAACATGGACTAGGACTTCTTGGTTTCATGAAGGAACCAAGCCATTGTTGTGCAAATTCCTAGAGAACACTGCAACCATGTAGATTTTATACTGCAAAGAAGAATAGAGAGCAGGAGTGATCTTGCCTACTCCAGGGCTGAACTAGAAAGAGAAATGGTCAAGGGTTTGCAGTGGTCTCTGATTTCGTAGGCATGCATTAAAAGAGGAGAACTCTTTGTTTCTCCCAAGGAACCAGTGCATATGACCTTAGGACTGGACTCTTCAGCCCCATCTGAAGGAAAATTTCTGCCTCCTGACTCACAGTAATGTCAAATACTCCATTGCATGCACAGCTTGGGCACTGGGAAGGCTGCAGAGGAGGCTGAAAAAAAGATGTGAAGACAATCACTGAACTCAGACTCTTTATGTTAAGTCCTTTTTCAGATATGACTGCCAAGGAAAAACCTTTGAATTTCATTGAGGAATATAAAAGACATGGACCTGTTGAAACAAGTCCAGAGAAAGGCCACTAAGTGCTGAAAAACCTCTCCCATGAAGGCAGGCTGAGAGAGTTGGATCTGTTCAGCCTGGAAAAGAGAAGGCTCTGGAGGGTGCTGAGACACTGAAACAAACTGCCCCAGAGAATTTGTGGCTGCCCCATCTCTGGAAATGTCCAAGGCCAGGTTGGATGGGGAACAATCTGGGAGAGTGGAAGTTGTCCCTGCCCAGGGCAGGGGTTTGGAATAAAATGATCTTTGAAGGTGCCTTCTGTCTGAAGCCACTTTCTGATTTCTCTGTGATTCTGTGGGTTACATACTGACTGGTTTGGGGTATCAGGCCATTCCTGTGCTTTGTCATAAGTTCTGCAGCCATGGGTGAATATTTTGTTAAAAGTTTCAGTGCATGTTCACTCTCCAGATCCTTTCCATCCCTTTTTTCCCACTACATACACAGATTACCTGATTTGCACCCAAAATATCAGAGGAATCTTAGCCTTCGTTTTCCTCTCTTTCATTGTTCATTTGTCAATTATCCATTTTTATCTAGGGATATACCCCGTGTCCTCTGTGGGGAAACAACTAACAATCCCTAATTTTCAAAAGACACACCGATCATGCATTTATTGATAAGCTAATTAAAGAGATATTGGATCTGTATTAATTTTTGGGGTTCTGTATACTCACTTCCAACTTGGCTCCCCAGGCAGGGTTACAGGGTCTTTCTCAAATCTTCATAACAAAAATCTTCATGTCAGTTGAGGGATGGAGTAAATTCCATGTGGGACAGTAAAGGCAAGGCATTATATAAATGAACCTAATGTTAATAAATATAAATGAGAAAGAAAGAGGGGGGAAAAGGAGATATTACAAAATTAAGGGATGTGGTCAATATTTGTTACTAAAAGGCAAAAGTAAATATAAGCAAGTTGAAAACAAGAAGACAGCCAAATGCCATTCAGGCAGAGTTAATGGCAGAGAGAAAAGAATGAGTCTGTGCATTCCTCCATTTCACACCAGGCCTGCACTCAATAAATCAACACATGGATTTAATTGCTGTGACAAATGAATATAGTGAGGGGAGTAAAATTCTGCTGGGTAATGCAGTCATCCAGCAAAACCCTGGTCAGCAGAGATATGTAGGTCAGTCATTATGGACCAGTGAGCAGAGGGAGTCCCTCGTGTGAGAGCCTAGATGAAAATCTTACAGTGTAATCTCTACTAAAATACCAGACTGTAAGTGTGTCTGGCTTCAGCATCTTTCTCAATAACCTTTAGCAGAAGAGGAAGGTATTACATAGAATGGCAATTAGCAAGACTGACAGAGCAAGCGACTGGGATTTATTGCTGGATTTTTCAGTTTGCTTGATTATTTCGTTGGGGTTTTTCAGCTGTATTTCTACTTCCATTTTTAAAACCAAAATCAAAAATGAAATCAGCTGAGATTATAAAGTTGGAAAAAAGGGAAATAAGAGCTTTATAAAACTAATATCCCAAATAAAGGCAGTGGGATGCTGTTGCAGACTCTGCTCCCCACAACCTCTGTCATAGTGGAGATGAGATCTCAAAGGGACTGATGAGGCAACTCTGATCTGAGGGGTGAAGAAGTATTGAGGAATAGTGCCCTCTCCTTTGCAAAGGTCTCAGCAGTGCTGGAACCCTCCTTCAGCCCTGTGCTAGATGTTAGAAAAAATTCTGATACATAAGATTGATTTTTTTGTAAAGCCAATTACATTTAGAAAAAACAAAGTCTTCATCTTCCTAATATTTACTTACCTGAGCAAAACTGATTGCAATTCCTGCTCTGAGGAAGTATTTTTTCCACAGTATGGATCATGTCACCCATTTCCTGCTGTACCCTTTTTCTGACATCATTGTAGGTAATGGGGATGACATTGAACCAATTTTCTACATCCAACTTATTACATTCCTCTGATGGAAACAAAACTTTTTACCAAATGCAGGGAAACCTTCCTCCATCAGGGGCTCTGGGCAACCTGGTCTAGTTGATAGAACTCAGGGGGATTGGAGCTAGATGACATTTAAAGGTCCCTTCCAACAAAACTGTTTAATGATCAGGATGTCCTTGTGGAAGAACACAAACAAGATCTGAGGTGTCTTTTCTGTTGCTGAAGCCAGCCAAGCTCATTGTAACTGATAAGCTTTGTAAACACATTAATATCAGTTAGAGCAGTGAATCTCATAGGAACACTGCTGCCTCCAGGAAATCTTGTACTTCTTTTCTCTGTTTTTATCACAGATCGAGGAATGGTACCACCAAAAAATACAATGCATAATAAACTTGTATAAAACAGGTTTAAATATCACATATAAATGGAAATAATACTTTGCATCTTTATATCTGCATTGTCAGGTGTTTCTACTGATCAGATCCTGAAATTGCATCTCATTTTTACAATAGAACTCAGAATATTTTATAGAAATTTCTATAAATTTAAATATCAGCATGCAATAGTCACTGGTGGCAATTAAGGCATCTTGCTTCATAATTCTGATTACATATGAAGGATTGATAAATTTTTCCTCTGATTCCATGATTACTAAATCAGTGGTCATCACGAGCAGGTGGAATGACAAAGTAGAAGTGTATTCAGCTGCATTCTCTGCACATTCATCTACAGGTTCCTCAGTGGGTAACAAATTAACATATCCTCTGTATTAATCTCCAGGGATCACAATACTGAGAGAACATATTTTGTTTCATGGAATATACAGAGGTCAAATCCACCTTTTCAAGCAGGTTAACAGTTTTATGGATTTGCCTATCATGTTATCAGTGTGGGGTTTTTTTTAACCTTCTGACTTAAACACAATGAGCTTTTGCTTTTCCCTCCCTTCTCACTTCTTTTTTTTTTTTTCTTTTTACTTCTCCAATAGCGTGCTTTTAGTTACATTGTACAACCCAGCAAGCAAAAACAAAGATATATTAATTTTATTATTTTGTTTCAATTTTCCTTTCACTCAGGGATCCTGCCTGCTTGGACAGTTACTGAATCTGGGACACCCTGCAGAGACAAAAGAACTTAACTCATCAGTAGGGATTTATGCTGATTGTAAGGTGCAGAAAACCAAAAGCTATTCCTCAGAATGTAGGAGATGCAGCCTTAAATATATTCTACAGCCACAGAAAAAGGGCAAGTTTTAGTTATTCTTCATGAAGGCCCCTAAATTACTTACAGTGGCAAAATCTGGGCTTTCTAGATGAATAGCGGCTCACACCTGAGCTTGGTTTCTTTTGGCTCAGATGCCAAGGAGTGTTATCAGAAGAGTACATGTGGTGTGTTGCTAAGAGAAAGATGTCTTCTTGCCATGTAAATTATCTCAACCATATTTTATGATTGTGACCTATTTTATGACCTTGTGTAATGATAGATGATGGTAGAAGACAGGCTACTCCCTGTTGGCTTTAGGGCAGTCTCAAAACAGAGGCAGAATAATCTCTGTGTTAAAGAGAACTTTCTTTACCAAATGGACCCTGAAGGTATACAACTGTTATTTATTACCTCCCAGCAAATCCTTCATTGCCAGAAACAATCTTCTTCCTTTATTTTATTTATTTAATTTCTTATGTTACAAAACTTAGTTCTGATGATTTATTCAGGCCCCGTGAGGTTTACAGTAAGTTTATTCAGTCGCCACAGGAAGAGAACACAAGAAGAGACAAAAATAAACCTAAGTCTGTGACACAAGAGGCAGATAAGTATTTTGTCGCAAAATTTGTCAGATCCAGACCCATCATCTTTTGCAAATGAGAACACTAATCAGTAGTCTGGAGTCTGAGCTGAATCTTCAAGTTGCATTAGGTAAACCATCATTTATATTCCAAAGCTGTTATGTGTTTGAAGTTGGATTGAAAGTGGTACTGGGAAATATTGTATGAGACAAGTTTATTAAAATAAAATCTGCACTGAAAATATGCTCTCTGGAGGAAATAAATTATGTTGTATTATCTGGTAAGTTAATTTATTTTTCTTTCCTTGTAATATATTCCTATTAGGGCTAACATTTACATCTTTTGGTTATACTCATCTGGAAAGACCCAGATCATGCTACCCAACACACCAGTGTTATATAAAACAAATTATAGGACAGTGACTCAACTAGTCTGTAAGAACAGAAATAAGGGGTTTATGCTGTGTTTTGACTTCATGTTCAGGGAGAAAATAGTTCCTTTTACAATGTTTTCTTCAGGGAAACTGGACTCATAACGTTTAGAATGAAAAAGTGTAATGTGAATAAAAGACTCATGCTTGGAAAAGAGGTATTAGATATACATGCCCAAAGTCATTTGCTGACCTTGAGGGAACATTGAGATTAATCTTTTCTTTTTCCATCAAAAAAAAAAAAAAAAAAAAAAAAAAAAAAAGCAGAGCTTACTTGGAGGAAAATGGAGCATAATCAGACCCATTTTTCAATGTAGCACCATACAGAGGCACATATATAATAATCAGTGTTGGCCTGATCAAATCACAGATCTAAGTCTACATTTTCTAGGTGGGTCACTGAGCTTTTGTTTTATTTTGCTCGGGGCTTTTTTCCCTCAAATGTGGGCAGCACAAGGACTTTGATCATCTTAAAGTCTTTCTTTTGTTTACCCTGATAACTGTGTCAAGAAATACAATTAGTTTGTTTTTAGAGGTTGAGATAATTCTCAGGAACAGAATATAAGTGCCAACAACAAAGCCACTACTCCTGGCTTTGGGTGGAAACAACTCCAAAGTCTTTTCTGTAGTGGGTTTCCCAGTACAGGTTTACAAAGCCACATTTCCCTAAGCTAACTCTATCCCCTTCATTCTTTAACTCCAACTTCTATTCCAATGCTTTTAGTCCACAGAATTTTTTATAGTGTCATGAAAACTGGAACTGCTTTAGAAGCAGGGATTTAGTGGGCCTTATACAGAATATTCCAGTTTGTTGATTAGACAAAGTATGTGTTTTCAAATTCACTTGGGAAAAAAAAAAAAAAGAAAAAAAAGAGAAAAAAGAAACAGAGCAGCACCAAAACAGACATTATAAAAGTAGTAAAAATGCTGAAGGACTACTTTGAATTTCCTTTAGGTATAGGAGATACACGGGCAGAGCCAGCAGGTGCATCCCATGAAGTCTGAATACTGGCCTTAAAAAGAAGGCATTTGGCATAATATTCAAGTCATCCAACACTCAGACCCTCCTGTTCCCTGTAAAATTATATGACCATAGGCAAGTCTGAGTGCACCTGGTAGTAATTACTTTTGGGCTATATGGGAGAAATCTGAAAAGCCAGAAATATTTCAGTAGTGACTGAGTAGTGGCCTTTGAGAATCTAAACACTGGCTCTGGGAGCATCTAAATGAATTTAGCAGCCTAAACAGATCCTTTAAAAACCAAGTCATAGTCATCTATGAGGAACTGGATATTAGATATTACAGGTAAAATCTCCTAAGATCCAGCCCAGCCACCTAACTAGGAGTATTAGCATATGCTGGCTGAGAAGTTTGTCAAGCACAATTAGCTCTCAATTAGCTACTGTCTCTTTTTTCTTCCTGTTTGCTAGCTTATGTAAGGTCTGATTTACAGACGTGACACATTATTATTGCATGGGCCACAGGATTTGTTATGTCATGCAAGCTAATGTCAGATGTAAGCAAAAACACAGATTGGGAAAATCACCTCTCTCTGATACAAATATCAGTGTTCATAATCATGCTTACAGGAATGCTGTATGTAATAAATTCATAATAGAAGACTTCCTTCCACATAAATTGCAGCAAGCTCCCTTTTCCTTTTCCCTATTTCAGGCTTTTTTGCAAATTGCTCTGTCTCCCTGGTCCCCCGGGAAAACTGTGCACAGACATACAATACTGGGAAAGAAAAAAAAAAAAAAAAGGAAAAAGAAGAAAAAAAGAAAGAGAAGAAGAAAAATACCTTTTTCCTCAACATACACATAGACACAGATATTTACCTAATGGACAAATGCTGATTTTTTCACCCTAAAGTTACCAGCATGAAGCATTCAAGACTGGGAGAGGGGGGGAAATATAATGTTGATACTAATGCCTGCAGGTGTGGAAACAAAGGTGGCTGTAAATTTCCATTGAATTTGGTGCCTAATGGGGTGGTATTTTTTCAATAATTCTTGTGCACTTGTCACAGAAATTTTGGAAAATTGTTTATATATTGAATTGCATGTCATAAATACAGTAATTCATGGTGCGTTGCTCCTTGCAATCTAGTGCACCATACTAAATTTGGGAACAGCACTTTTTTGTCAACTTGGAAGTGTAATCAGTGGCAACATATCTTCAAGATTCCATTCTCTTCTTCTCCCACTCCCCAAAATGACTAATACTTCTATAAATGGAGAGAAAGGGAAAAATAATAAGTCAGACAAAGATGGATGTGCGAAAGGAGGTATAAATAATATGAAGGAGACTTGGGTGACTTGCACAGTTGCCTGGTCACATCCAGAGGGTGGCTCAATATCCAGGTGGAGATCTGTGGTCAGTGGTGTCTCTCAGGGGTTTGGTGCTCTTTAATATCCATATCAGTGATACAGAGAGTGAGATTTAGAGCACCCTCAGCAGGTTTGCAGATGACATGAAGTTGTGCAATGCAGTTGACACAACAGAAAGATGGAATGCCTTCTGTAGGGACCGGGACAAACTTGAGAAGTGCACCCATGAGAACCTAGTGATCAACAAGCCCAAGTGCAACGTGCTGCACCTGGGTCAGGGCAACCTCCAGTATCAGCACGAGCTGGTGGGTGAAATCACTGAGAGCAGCTCTGGGGGAAGCATTTGGGGGCTCTGGTGGATGAAAAGCCAGAGATGAGCCAGAGTGTGCACTCACAGCCCAAAAACCCAACAGTATCCTGGGCTGCATCTGAAGCATGGCCAGCAGGCTGAGGGAGGGAATTGTCTCTGTCTGCCCTTCCCTCATGGGACCCACCTGGATTTCTGTGTCCAGTTCAGGCTCCTGGGAAGGTGTGGGCCTTGTGGAGTGTGTTCAGATGAGGCCGCATCTCGGGTTCTGAGTTGTTGCTGAAATGGCTTCCGAGGTATTTAAAAGTCTTTTTTTTCCCAGCCCTGCACTCAAAGAAGAAATCAGGATTCCTCGGCTCTGGTTCTCAAGGTGGTTTATTTTCTGTTATGTCTAACATTCTTTCTCTGACCTGCTGAGGTCTGTCCAGCAGGTTGGTTCATGGCACACTGACCACCCTCATGGCAGTGTTATCTTTTTATACTAAAAACTACATGTACTTTATTTACAATAATTTTCCAATACCTAACACCTATGTTAGACAGTCTGTCTCTAATCCAATCCAAAAGTGCCACCATCAGAGCAGAAGGTGGAAGAGAAGGAGAAGGAGAAGAAGAAGAAGGAGAAGAAGGAGAAGAAGGAAAAAGAAGGAGGAGGAGGAGGAGGAGCAGGAGGACGAGGAGGAGGAGAGAACATGCCCAGATTCCTCCATATTGCCTCTTGAACCCCCATTCTAAATCCCCAAAATTCTACTTTTTCACCCTGTGATAAATTCACTAACATTCTACTCAAACCCTTGTGGCTTGTAATTCTTTGCACAAAGTTGGTAATTGTTTCCATGGGTTAAAATCAAAGGCACAGGTGTCTTTGACTCTGTGCCAAGGTCTCTGAACCCCCTGCCAGGGTCTCGAGTCCTCCAGGGCAGCCAGAGGAACGTCGTGGGTTCCAAGAGCCATGAGCACCATCAGAGGGATGGAGAACCTCTCCTGTGAGGACAGGCTGAGAGACTTGGGTTTGTTCAGCCTGGAGAAGACTCTGAGGATCCCTCATTGTGGCTTTACGTACTGAAATACTTGAATACTGAAAGGGCTCTTAGAAGAAATGGGCACAGACTTTTCAAGATGGCTTGTTGTAATAGAACAAGGGGTAGAGATTTAACCCCAAAGTGGGTAGATTTAGTCTAGATACCAGGAAGAATTATTTTATTATTTTTTTCATTGAGGGTGGTGAAACACTGGACCAGGCTGCCCATGGAGGTGGTGGATGCCCCATCCCTGGAAACATTCAGGGACAGGTTGGATGGGGGGGAGCTGAGCAACCTGATCTAATTGCAGGGGGTTTTACACTGGAGTACCTTTAAGAGTCCCTTTCAATGTGAACCATTCTATGATTCTACGACTTTAGGGAGTGGAAATGCAGACTAGACTCCTCTTTCAGGGTATGTAGGACACAAATTCAAATTGGCCATTGGTTACCTCCTGATAGTCTACAAGGTAAATTGTTTCCAAGATAATTTTCCTTTTTAAGACCAAACATATCTGTGCCACAGAAACCATAAAAATAATCTCCTAGGAAAATTTAGAAAGGAAAAACTCCTCACCAAAGAACTTAAAAAGATTTCGGGTATTTCCATCCTCCTTTTTATCTCAATAGTTGTAAGGATCTCTGCAGAGGTAGTCTGCCCTGTTCTGGAATTCAAGATTAGCATAGCCCACTTAATGAAATATAAACAATAGTGATGATACTCCATGAGCAGCTGAACAGCCAGCCTAGGTCCCTAGCCTCTTCCCTAAATAAATAAAAGAATTTTCAAGATCTACCTGGATAAAGAGAAACAGTTCAATTATGTGTCAACTTTTGATATTTTTATTTTAACAAACCATTTCATTTTCTAAGCTGGAAATAATACCTGCATGAAAAAGTGTTTAGGGGGATGGTATTCTTGAAAAAAAAAAAAAAGACATGAGGGAGGAAATTCTTCTCCTGACTATTAAATAATGAAAGTAGGCCAAGTCTCTGCTTGGATCCAAAGCTCTTCAAAATAATTCATAATTTTCTTTTCCTTCTTCCCTTATCCTAGTTTCAGATTTTTGGAGCTTTTTTTTTGAAGAAAGTTAAATGAAAATCAAGCTTCTAAGTAGCTCTAGGGATCCCTGTGAATTCCACATCAGGGCTTCCCAGTGTGCTGCTCAGCTGCAAGAAAAGGATAAAAGAATATCAATGTCTCCTGTTCAGATAAACACTTGTAGGCCTTTTATAACAAAGGGAATGATTTACTCTTTTAGTTGAGGAAGAGTAATAAACTATTCTTTTCCATTGCCATCTGTAACATAAGTAGATTTGTCTCAAATGTTGTAAAAAGTCAGTGGCAATATATTTATAGTCATTCTGCAGAGATTCAGATAACAGAACAAGGGGCCAAACAAGTGAGGATCAGGCTTTCCATTGTCACTGACAATTTGCCTTTATTAGGAAACAGAGGTGGGATTCACCTGATCCAGCTTTAGAGATCTTCACTGCAGTGCCTCCAGCTGTGCCAACCACCCCAGGATTCTTTGTAGTCAGCTGAGAGAAAAGGCATGAGTGAATAAGTATAATTCCCATGACCTACTTTAGTAGTCTAAATTCAGACAGTGCAAGGATTCATCTCTCTTCTTGGACTAGAAAGAGGTCCTAAGTGGAAATGTCAAAATTTATTCAGAGGAGCTACACTGCAGATGACCTGAAGAAGCAGGAAATTAAAACATTGTAATTTGCAATGTAATTCCTCTTGTAAAGCCCTGATCAGGAAGTAAAATTCTACTAAACGTACTGAGAGTCTGGTCCAAAGGCAAGTTGTCAAATCAAGGTAGGAGAAAGATATTGTTATGTGAAGCTAAAAGGAAGATTTTAAAACAGAGAAAATAAAGACCAAAATTATTTCTAACTGTAGTGCTGAGAATCCCATTGCCCTGAAAGAATTAAGCATTAAGAATTTCAGCTAATTGATCCTTTAATTTTCTAGTCTCAAGTAACCTCTGCACAGAAAAAAAAAAATCATTAATTCTAAGTGATTCACTTTCAAACTTAAAATGTTTTCTTTCTGTTTTCAGTAAGACCTCATGCAAGAGAAGCACTTTTCAAATGTTGTGTGGAAAATTTAATTTTTTTTTTTTTTTTAATTTTTAGTGGGGTACAGTGATAATGCTGAGAGTCCTTTCAAGAACAGCTGCAGGTAAGGGACTGAAGCCTTGCACTAGAATAATTTACTGTGGGTACAGTATCACTAATTTCAATGGGACACAGGGCTCTGGCATCAGTAGTGATAACTGCAGGGCTCAGGCCAAAATCTGCAATGAAATTTGGGCATGAAAA